CAAGGAAGTCATTCCCATAAATTCTCAGCAATATGGTTGTCTAAATACTCTTCATCATGACAGCATGGATGGGAGAAAATTCAGAAGCGTATACCTCTAGATGAAGAACTACAGCCAATCAATGGTTATTGAGAGAAGGACAATCAGTTTTCTTGAGGAATAAATCCTCTGATAGGTATTTAAACCCAATTATTCAACCCCAAACCCACCTACATACAAGCGTGCATATGATATTTAATAAGATGTCATTAATTTGACAAGGAGTCAGTGCTGTGGGATGGTCTGTATGTCAAATTACTCTGATTGGTCAGTAAATAAAACACTGATTGGCCAGTGGCTAGGCAGGAAGTATAGGCGGGACTAACAGAAAGGAGAAAAGAAAGAACAGGAAGGCAGAAGGAGTCACTGCCAGCCACCGCCATGACAAGCAGCATGTGAAGATGCTGGTAAGCCACGAGCCACGTGGCAAGGTATAGATTTATGGAAATGGATTAATTTAAGCTGTAAGAACAGTTAGCAAGAAGCCTGCCATGGCCATACAGTTTGTAAGCAATATAAGTCTCTGTGTTTACTTGGTTGGGTCTGAGCGGCTGTGGGACTGGCGAGTGACAAAGATTTGTCCTGACTGTGGACCAGACAGGAAAACTCTAGTTACAAGTCAGGGAGAACATAGGAAGAAGATCTGTAGTGGGAACAGGAGATGTGAAAACAATGTAAATGTTGTACTTGTATGAAATTTTCAAAAAAAAAAAAAAAACTTCAATAAAAATAAAACCTAAAACAGCCTCCTATCTTCCTCAAAGTAAAAATCAGAGACCTCAGAGTAAAATCTAGTTTCTAATCCCTTTCTTTCTCTGACAACATCAGGATTCTCCTGCTCACTACATACCCCAACACCTGCCCTAAATCTGTTCCTTCTACTTTTCAATCAAGTACTCTTTAGCCTCAGGGATTTTCCTCATTACACACCTCCTACATAATAACTTCTCAAGGAAACAAATCGAGCCATCTGACACATATCCGAGACCCTGCACCTTTCTGTACTAACTTTACTTGGCTATATTCTTCCCCATACCGTTCCTGACCCTCAAAGGAGATACTAGACTTTCAATTTGAGAAATGTATTGTTTCTCTTCCACCACCGAATGTAAACTTTCTCTGGGGAAGTAATTTTGCATTTTTTTTTAACTTACTGCAATGTGTACAGCTTAGGAAAGCATACTAGATGGGCAGTACATAAGTACTGAATGGGTCGCCCAGATTAACTTTTTAGCTCATGCTTCCTATCACTCACTTCTAAAATTGTATTTGGTTCTACAAAAATTGGGAAAGTCACATCCTGCCTGCTGCACCAAGTTTTCAATATAACAAAATTGGAAATGTTTTTATGCCTTAAAGGAATGAGAGTTTAATAAATAGGACACTGGCTCTGAAGTCTCATGAAGTGGTAAAAGCTCCCGACTGATCCTGTAAACAAGCTGAGTCCAAATAGCTGGAAGCCAGACCATTGGAAGCACTCATTTGGAAGAAATTTGAAACCGTTTTCAGCGAGGACTAGATTCTATGAGATTTTGATATAATAGTCTCTCCAACTCTATGTGAAATACCAGGGCAGCTCACTAGGAGGGGGGGAAAATCAAACTATTATAAAAATGACGGCCAATTATATTTGGAACTCAACCACAATCTTGGGTAAATGTTGTACCACCATCTTTCCCAAAGGAGAAAAAGTATCTCAAACAATATAGAATTTGATCAGTGAATAGTCTCAGCAATACTTAGGAAGCTGCTCATCCTGTCCAGGGCCATAAACATAAAACAGACTGTTGTAAAACTGTATCTGAAATTAGCATGTCAATTATACCATATTAATGAAATTCAATTATGACAATAACAAAGGAGCTTCAAACATGTTTTCTATCTGAATTCAGCTCATCATTCTGTAGCCATTCCACTTTATTTTAATATTAAAGGGCAGTAGGTACAACTCAGACTTTGAACTGATGTCCTTCAAGCACTTCTGTTTCAGTCTGTTGACTACCTGTTTTTGAGGACCCCTATCTGTTTAGTGAATAATGCTTAAATAAATATGAAGGTTGTTTTTTTTTAAACTTCAAAAAGAGCACTTTTCTTGGATTGACACTGGAAGGAGTGAGGCATGACACAACTTGTGAAAGTGAATAAATTATTTGGTACCTCAAAACTGTTGTCCTTGCCTTCTGTGAAGTAATTTCACCAATTTAAACAAAACAGTTAGATGCAAAACCAAAATTGGAATGCACTTCATCTTCGCTGGTGTCAACATGAATGAATTTCTATACTGAACACATGAGCCCCATGAAGGGCAGTTTGTAATAAAAAATGAGTTGACTTTCTAACTTTAAACTCTAGAAATGCAATAGTAAAAAGGAAATAAAAACGAAGATGAAAAGTAAGAGCATGTTCCAGAAACATCCTCTTGGCAGAAGTTATAAATTTGTATGTTAAAACTTTTTTGTAAACAAAAGAGTAGGTTACTATTTTGACTGACAAGTAAATAGTTCTTGTTATTATCATGGTCACTAATTTTAATGAGCACATCTAACTACAATTTCAAAAACTACTAATCAGGAGAGTTAAACAAATAAAGCTAGTGTTGGAATTCTTCAAAATTGAGAGCAGGAAGAAAACCATAGAAAAGTAGGTCTTTGACATATGAGCCTTTAATTTATCAAAAGCTTTTCAGGCCTCATCAAATGCTGTCTATATCCACTATAGGATAAAATGTGAGCAAAGCACACTGGAGCACAAACAGTAACACTTTGAACAAGCTGCTATGGTGGAGAAAACTTTTCACAAAGGATAATGAGTAATTTAGGTGTGTGGTAAGTATGCCGACTAGTTTCTGTCAACTCAACATAAGCTCAGGTCATCTGGGAAGAACCGAGAAAATACCTCCATCACAATGGCCCATGGGCAAGTCTGTAGGGCATTTTATTTTATGAATGATTGATGTGGGAGGGCCCACCTACTGTGAGTGGCACCATCTCTAGAAAGGGGGTCTTACATTGTATAAAAATCAAACTGAGCAGCTGGGCATGGTGGCACATGTCTTTAATCCTTTACTTGGGAGGCAGAGGCAGGTGGATCTCTGTGAGTTCATGGCTAGCCTGAACTATAGAGTGAGTTCCAGGACAACCAAGGCTGTCATAGAGAGAAAGCCTGTCTCATAAAAAGAAAAAGAAAGAAAGAAAGAAAGAAAGAAAGAAAGAAAGAAAGAAAGAAAGAAAGAAAGGAAGGAAGGAAGGAAGGAAGGAAGGAAGGAAGGAAGGAAGGAAGGAAGGAAGGAAGGAAGGAAGGAAGGAAGGAAGGAAGGAAGAGAGAGAGAGAAAGAAAGAGAGAAAGAGAGAGAGAAAGAAAGAGAGAGAAAGAAAGAAAACAACAACAACAACAAATAAACAAACAAAACTCAAACTGAGCAACCATGGAGATCAAGTCAGTAAGCAGCATCCCTCCATGTTCTCTGCCCCAGTGCCTACCTGATTTCCCTTCATGATGAACGCTAAGCTGTCATGTGAAATAAACCTTTTCCTCTTCACATTAATTTTGGTTATGATGTTTTATCACAGCAATTAAAAATCAAACCAGAAGATCAAGAAAGCACTGGAGAATGATTCTCAGTGGCAGAGCATGGGAGAAGGGTTTTCTGCACTTGGGGGGGGGGGCTGAAGCAGGAATCACAAGTTCAAGGCCACATGGTCTATGTAGGGAGACCCTGTCTTAAATTGTAAAAAATACCAAGTCAACAAATTCAATAAGTGATTAGATTGACAGTTTTTAGTACATGGTACACAATTTCCACAATCATGCATTCATATTCAAATGTCAACAAGTTTTTTAAGATAAATAATTACCTATTAATTTTTTAATTAGCACATAGACTCCTTAAAGAGCTACTACAGTAGTAGGCATGCAGTGTCTAATGCCTACTTTTTCAGCTGAAAGGCATTCCAATGTCAATAACAATATTTTGTGAGTTGCTCTATTTCCCTAACCTTATATTCATTATCTGGTAATAACAGAATTGAACTCATTTTTTGTGATACTCAAAAGCCTAGAAACTATATTACTAAAATATATGGGATTTGAAAAGTCCCATGCATTGCTAGCTAGTAGTAGTTTTCATAGATTTGTTTTACTCACTTAACAACTATCAAATCCTGAGGTTAATAGAATATATAGGAGGTGAGCATGGCCTAGAGTAGAACTCCATGCTCCAGCAACACTGAATTATGAAGTCCCTCCTCAAACATGCCTTCTCTCATGTTAAGTAAGTCCCTTGCTCAACAGACTGCTTCAGAACATTGAAAAGCCAGAATTAGTCTTATTTCTGTTTCTTCATGCTCGGTTTGTTCATTCTTTCCGCATTGAAGAATGTTAAATATCTAGTGCTTGTAGTAAATTAAATATTTTTGCATATAAAAAATTTCTATTCTCTTTTGCCTTAAATGTAAAGAGTAAAATCCAATTTTATTTTGCTTGCAGGATGGAGAGAAATGAAGAAAAATTAGCCTTGCAGGAAGAAAAGAAAAGTGATCATTATGAATAAACAAAGGCAAGAGAAACAGAAAATTTCCAAACTGGCATTGGTTATATCATTATCCTAGATCTATGCTATATGCAATATATTAATTATGTCTACTAACTATACTGTCAATACGAAGTATTTTGACAGATAATGAGACTCTTCTTACTAACTTATCAGAAATGTAGCAAATTGTAAAATTCCATCTGTTTTTACCTGGAACCAAAGCTGTAACCCATGCCCATGCCCAGAAAAAAAAATGTATTTGTCTCGTGTGTGTGTGTGTGTGTGTGTGTGTGTGTGTGTGTGTGTGTGCGTGTGTGTGTGTGTGCGTCCCTTGAGTCATAGTCATACGATGAATATAATAATTATTTATTTTTCCTTGAAAAGAAGATTCTTCAATATTTCAAAATAAACATGCAACATGCAAAAATACCTTGGGCTTCTTATTTTCAGGGTCTGTTGACATGGACAGTGCGCAAGGTGAGATCAGCTCCTTGGTTCTTGTTAGAGAGACAGGAAGTGATGGGGTTGGAACAAGTGAGCTGTGGTTGGATATTATGCTTTCTGGCGGTCCGGTTCTTGAAGGACATGTACCATTGCCATAACTTAGGTGCAGTTTTGAAGGACTAGGCTGGAGGACCCGGGTGAGTGAACTCTCAGGAGGAAGAATGGAGAGCCCTAAGTTGGGATGACAAGCAGAGCTAGCATGGGAGGTAGGCAGATCAGAAGGAACCGAAGGGCTCAGCCCCCGGACTGGGTGCTGTTGAGAGCAAGCTCTTTTGGACCTGTCTATCAGGTCTGAGAGCGCTGGGGAGGGGTGGAAACGTTTCTCTAGAGAAGAAAGGGCAGGGCTCTCATTAACGGGAGATGCAGAGGATAATGAGGGGAAAGGGTGTGTGCAAGTATTCCTGTTCTTTTCTGGACTCCTGAGGTTACCATCCTGTCTGCCCTCCGAAGGAGAAAGAGGGGATGAGCCCGGTGTGACTGGAGGGACGTCAGCAAAACCGGACGTGTCAGTCTGTAACTGGGATAGTGTTGGACTGTTCCTCGGGGCGCCTCGTGGTATTTTCTCTATATTTGTAGAAGCATAGCTGCTACTGTCGGGGGCTAGTGGAGAGAGGGGGTACATCTGAGAGAGTGGGGTAGCCTTGGAAAAGAAAGGGAGGTGGCAGGGCAGGTAGGTCTCTGAAGAAGCCTGGTGTTCTCCTTGCTCTGTAGACCCAGATGTCAAGGAGCAACTTGAGAGAGATTTCTTAGGTGTGGGTGAAGTTGGCTTTACTTTTTGATCGAGGGTGAGAGTGGATGAGGCCAGGGAATTGAGAGAGAAGGTTGGGCAGGACGCAGGGGATAAAGGCCTTTGGTGAGAAGGGTTTGATTTGAGGATAGCAGTGAGGAGAGAGAGCCGAGAGGGTACCGGGGACTTGAGCCCTGACTTTGAAAGATTTCCACTGGATGACATTCGGCTACAGACAGTAGATAAGGAGCCATAGGAAGAGGAGGTAAGTGGTTTGGGACTTGGAGACAGAGAATGCATGACAATGCGGACCGGTATGTAGGAAGCTGAAGGTGACTTCAGAGAAGCACCAGAGGCAGGTGAAGGAGAGGTTTTCAGATCTTCCCTGGGATCAAGGACATGCGAAGTCGACATTTTCTTCTGTGCTTCGGATGCCAGCCCAGGTGTGTGAGCAGCAACATTTGAGCCACATGAACCAGAACCGGGCAGTTGTGTGGAAGGGGGAAATAATAATGACGAGGCGCCCCTCCACGCAGAAAGGGGGGACTCGTGAGCAGTAGTGTGAAAATACGTAGCTGATTCTTCCACCGAGGTCCCTGCGGCATCCAGCCTGCGAGTGTGAAACTCCTCTCGCACAGAGGCTCCACTGACGTTAGCTGGGACCGGTGGCGTTTTCTGATTAGTTGGAGAAACAAAGGAGAAAGCAGGTGGTTTATGAGCAAGCTGCTCAGAGGTAGTGGGAGAAGTTAGCTGGAGGGAAGAAAAATAGATTGAAATAGGACATCACTTACGAAATTATCAAAGCACTCTTTGCAGTGTGCGCTTGCGCAAACAGGCCTTCTAGTAGTTTACATGAAATGAGACATTTTAAGCCTCCATTAGTAACGAAGGAGTTCATGCTTACTAATGAGACATGGCTTTGAATTTCAAATAACACATAAATCCTGAAGTAGTGCATCCTATAGCCGTTTACTCTCTGAAACAAAAATCAACATAAAATTTGTTTTCATAATTCTATTGTAGAAAATAATTCATTCAGACTATTTAAAATAGTTGTCCTAATTTGGAATTGTATAATCTGAAAGGACTGAAGTTGTCTCCATTACAAATTTAAAACTTCATTTTTAAAAATGAAATAGATTTTTCTGCCATTGAAAGAATATACACCATAGCTTGATGATGACTAGAATCCTAAATGTTAATGTATTTCAATTGCTTATGATTCTAAAGACTTGGACTACATATGATGAGTCTGAAAAGGTGCCCAGAATTCGAAGGATGAAGTTCCCAACACCAACACACAATGATAAATTGAAAGTGAACACCAAGTCCCAAATAGAGAGAGCACTTTAGCTTATTTTCCCCAAGTTGCATGCCAGAATGAATATATAACGATAATTTAGTGAACACTTAGCCAATGATTTGTCTTCTTCTAGAACCAACAGGCTTTCTTTCTTATGAAAAGAAGCCAGAGCACTTTAAAATCTATTTGAAACTAGGCAACTGCCCATCATACACTAAAAAAAAAGAGGAAAATTTTAAAACATAATTTTGCAAAAGAAGGTAGAGCTAGCCTGTGGAATAGCCTGTATTCTTGCACCACTTAAGTAGTCTGCAATTTAAGGCAAATGCTGAAATCATGCTAAAGTTTTTAAACAACGGCTTTAAAATTATTAATTTGATTTTATCAGACTATAAAATAAAGGTATGCATGGCTAGTAAACTTGAGAAATATGAGTCATACAAAACATTAATGAATATTAATATACATAGGTATATTGCACTAAGGAAATAGCAGGAAAATGTCTATAAACTTAAATTAGCAAATTTTGGGTTGTAGATAAAAGATATATTTTAGAATTTTGATTCAGATCCATGTGAATAAAATTTCTAATAGACCCACTGTGATGAACTTCATGATGTGTTATCTTGAGACCTAAAAACACTTAAACCTAACAAATTCAAACATTTCATTCTAAACTCCTTAGCCTCTGAGCAAATACACCCCAAATATTCCTTTTATAAATATGAAGATCAACAAGTAATTTTGCCACATAAATAATATTTGAAATCATTGACAGAGTCCAGACTACCAAAACATCAGTGAAAATGAAAAATCAAACAAAACTCAATCAAACTGAGAAAGCTTAATCATCCTCATGCAGTTTATCTTGGAATACTGCTTAGCTGGTGTTTATGCAACTGATTTGTATGGTTAGGGAGGATATTTAAATGCAAACATCACTGACTGGTCAACACAACATGATGCTTCTGTTACTAAAAGATGACAACGTTTTATTTGGAGTTCTAATGTTGAAAAATCATTCTCTCAAGAGTTCCTATTCTTCCAGGGTGTGTGTGTGTGTGTGTGTGTGTGTGTGTGTGTGTGTGTGTGTGTGTGTGTGTGTGTGTGCTAGTGCACATGTGTATGTATTTTAACCATGAACTATCTTCTCTAATCATTTCCATGACTGATTTCTTCTCACAAGAAGAATGGGGACATTTCGAGTCTCCAGGATGTCTCTGCGTGCTGTACCCTATTTAGAAAAGCTGTTAGAATTTGCTAGAGATTTTTTGTAAATTACTACCAACTGCCACAAGAATCTGACTATCTTTCTAGTAATTCTGTTTTCTAAGAGCTTCAACACATGCAACAATCTATCAATTTATCTCAATTATTTACCAAATTACCAGCATATTAAGGATGTAGGTTCATACTATTTCATGTATTATTAAAAGTGAAAGGCATCCCTGCAACTTCCTCCAGGTGAAGGCTTCTAAGTCCCTAATAGCCTATTGAACTATGAGATACTTTCCTAATAACAATTCAGAATTTTGTCATACATTTTAAGAGTTAATTTATGAGAAAATTCTAAAATGCTGATGTCTAATAATATTTACTATGTTGATCTACATATAATTTTACTTATATTTTAGTTGTAATGTTACTATATTTACAATATATTCATTAGTAATTTCCAAATGCACTATAATATTATTCTAACTTACACAAACATGTAAGTATAGCACCATAATTTTATAAACTTTCCAGACACAAGGGATTCATCATTAATTTATAAAAAAAGAATTCACATTCCTGAGTCCATATTATTTTTATTCTTTTTCAAAAAAAAAAGGCAAAGACATAAATGAATAATGCCATGAGAAAGAAGGAGCATCGCTCTTCAAATTCTCAGTCAGTAACTTGGAATGGGCCCTTCCTTTCCCCCTCTAAGCCCTTTGGCAACACCAATGGGAATGGAAGCAATGGGAAACTTTTTCACTGAAGTATATAGTGCATTCCTTTTCATCTTTCGCCATTTATAACTACTCTGTGTTCTTAACCATTTCCTTCTTTCTCCTACATTGTTGGAAGATCTTCTAATGCTGACTGGGCTCGAGCCCTTGGCCACATGCTTCCTCCAAACTCATCCTCAGGACACTCTTCTCAAAAGGCTGTCCTCAACTTTTGGATGCAGTATCAGAACTCTAATGAGAGAAGATGCATGCAATTTGCTATTATCCTAAGGTAGATTAAATTAACTACCATATCACGTATCGTTGAGGCCTTACATTTTTTAAACAACGATGCTATTTGAGAGCTGCCTTGAGTTACCTGGGGCTTTACACATTCACTTTTTCTAATGTGCCAAAGAGATATGAGAGTGTTTACATCAAAGCTGAAGTGTCTGCTCTGTTATGTGGACATGGCCAGATGCTGGTCCTTCACAACCATGCCCTCCCCCAGAATCATCACAACCTTATAGAAAACACCCCATTGTCCTAACACAACAATCATTATGTCATAGAAAGGTGGCCTCATACCTAATGGCTGGTCCTTTTCTCTCTAAGGCATACATATAATGCTACGATTCTCAGCCTTTCTTATCTGAACCAATGAAATAATATTGCCTTGATATTCCTAACTCTAGCTTTAATCCATATAACTTAGCACCAAATTGAACTTTTAAAATCTAATCAATGAACATCTATTTCCTAAGACCTCATCAGTGCTACCAGGAACCAAATGTGTTCCCTTCATTACACAGCCCTTCTCTTGCTATTTGGTCTCATCTCCCTGACTTCTCGATATTTTCCATTTTAGGTTTTGACAATAATTTTCTCAGTCTTACCATTTTTGTGAGCCTTGTTAACATTCTAGCAAGCTTGGTCTCTAGTCATCGCTCTGGAAAATCTTCATTCTTATTCCCACTGACTGCCATTACATTCCTGGCTACTGTCTACTCAAAGCTGCTGTAAAAGAAAACTTGGCACCACCCTGTCAGATCATAGTATCACTGCATTTGATTTACAACCATGTCCTGTACAATAGTAATGTGAAAATGGGACAAACATCCTGCACCTGTTCAGAGTGGTAACTTTCTCAATAAACATTTTGGTATGACAGGGCACTGTGGATTGCTTTCAAGGTCAGTTGTCTCTGCTGAATGTCTCTCCACTTCCATACTATAACTCTTCCAAAGTTAATATTCTCCTCCAAGCCTTAACCCATCACTTTTTAGAAGTTGAATTCTCCATATATACTCTAAATCACAGGCACGCTGGTATTCTCTATAAGTATTCATCTTTTTTTTATAGTTTTACTAACTCTCCCATCCTAACAGAATTATGAAGAGAAATTCAATCTCTTCAAATTTTAACACTAAGTGTCAGTGTGGTGGGTGGTGAAAATGCCAACAATCTTCTGTTTTTTACTAAGTCCCTTGTCTCAGAACTGAATCTGGGCCAGTGGCATAATAGTAAACCTTCTACAGGAAGCAATCGTTGGAAAGTCGCTGCACCAGGGCTTGTGTGGACTCCTTTGTGGAGTCTCAGCTCATACCACACTTATTGTGCACTAGGCTCTCGACACTAATATCTGATGTACTCTTTGCCTCCCTAGACACAGACAAAATCATGTTCATCTGACATCAGCAAGTCAGAAGACCATCCCCTAAAATGCCTACAGCTTTTCCTGCTGGAATTTCCAACTCAACCTGATTTGCACATAAGTAATTCCTTTGTATACGGTCACTAGTCCAAACCGTGCCATGTAGAGGAAATAACCGCTACTCATGAATAGTCGAGATTTGGTAAGCATTTGACAGACCCTGGGGTCTCCCACTAATGCAGAAAACTCCTCCTCCATTCTATCGACTCTTACTTGCCATGGAAGGAGAGAAAGAGAATACCACAGGAGCAAACGCAAGCAGGAAGAGAAACAGCAAGACCGCAGGGGAAAGATCGCTAGAGACGAGTGATTTAAATGAATGAAACTACGTGCTTGTATTTTTTGTCTATCAACTATAAGGATGCACATATGTAAATGTTTATCCCTCACCCTAAAAGCCCACCTACTTGGTTAAGACTTTAACCACCTGTCATCTACTCGTGCCCGGTTGGACTACTTTTGTGTTTTTTGTTTTGCATGCAGTTGGAGTCTTCTACCTGTGATCATGTTCATATTGCTTCCTAGCTATTTTATATAAACACGCCATATTGCAAAAATCTGCTGGTGGATCCAAAGATAGTCCTTCCAGAAGTTAGCAGAATACAACAGGAAGTTTAATACTGCAACTTATTTCAAGATCTTCACTATCTGAATTCCTCGGGCTATATGATTTAAAGAATAGCGATATCACTAATTATGAGACAGTGACCCAGGGATATTGTCTATGCCTGAGATCTCACTCAGCTGTGAAAACTCTTCAAGAATTTTAGTATGATAATGTCTTTTCCAGATATATTTC